ACTTGTGCGGTCGCTGCCGCCGAAAATCGTTAGGGGCGAGAAGCGGGAGGAAGTGCGCGGCACACCTGCCGAGGAGCAGTGGACTACGCGCCGACATGATGTCCGTTCGGGCGGGGTCCAACGAGCTGCAGAGTGACATAGGCGGGAATGACAATCCCGAACGGCTTGGAAGCTGAAATGAGTAGTAGAATGTCGTCCTGGATTGGATCTGTCTTGGTTGTGGAAGAATAGGAGTGGGAGGGGGGTCACCGGATTGGGCGTTGAGGCCTGGCGGGCTTAGAGGCGATGGGGAGGCATGGGAATCTGTGCTAGAACGACTGGGTTAGTGGAACTAGGGAGAGAGAAAGAGGTATGCGTACCTGCGCCCTCGATCCTTGTCTGTTGATTCCTAGTAGCCCAGCCCTTCGTTCGCCTATATTATGTGCTTTATCATGACAACGCTCTGCTCATGAGGAACGGTCTAAAAGCATTTTGTAGAAGTGGCTACTCACCCTCGCATGATACTTCACATTATGGATGGAGGTCAGAGGTCACTGAGGCGGCAGGTGGTGGTGGATGAAGCTTTCGAAATTCGAAGAGTCGAATCTCGATACAATTTCAAATAATCACAACCCGTGACGTGACTCCGACATGAACGTCCCGCCATCCGGGATTTGTCGTCCAGCTCGTCCCGCCTCTCTGCAAAAACCGTCACAAAGACATCCGAACCACATATGGTTTCGGATTGATCCATGCGTGTCGAGTTTCGGTAGTAGCCCCCAGATGACAAAAAGGAAAACGAGATAGACCAATCAATTCGACAACCATGTGCCACCAATGTACCCCCAGCAGAATATAAACATGAACCCCTATGATACCCAACGAAATCTACGGCCCCATAACGCATTCCGATCGCGATTGCGACGCGCCGCCCGTCGCGGCGTGATACTTCGCCACCTAGATTGTCATCCGATTAGACGGTGACAGTGACCCATCCATCCCTAGATTCTAAACCCCCATCAGCGATCCATTCCCGAAAACATGGACACCAGAGGACTTACAGTAACCACGAATACGATTATCCCGTAATATTATATGTATTCTTCTCCCACTCCGTCCACTCGAACACCGGCAGCGGATGTGCCTCAGTGTTGAACACCCATTTCGAGAACGGGTAAGGGTCGCCATCCTCAAACAGTAGGTAAAGGTACTTGAGCGTCTCGGCCAGGAAGAAGCTATAGGGGGCTATATGAGCGGGGCAAAATATGCAAAGAGGGGATGATATATACCTCGGCATATCGTCGATCTTCCGCACCACCTCACGATCAACCTGATCGACGGAAGCATAGCCAAACGCCGTCTTCGCGTTCCGTTCGATCGCAGTGAAGATCTCATACCCCCGTTCGCGCCACTTCGCATCTCCTGTCGTCTTCCACAACACATAAAGACTCTCCACGGTCTATCAAACGAAATCCGCCGTCAGCCTCGGGTACCATCACATCATACCAGGATAAAAGAACGAACCTCGGGCCTCAACAGGTATACAGCCGACGCCAGCTCATAGTCCAACCCATCCCCATCCGCACCCCTGCCCTCCCTCTCCACATACCCCGGCGGCCCCGACCCTCCTCTCCCCTCCTTCTCCCACTCCTCCAGTACCTCAACCCACCGTCTCCCGGGCTTCATCCTCAGCCCATCCGGCCCCAGCCCCGAACGCTGGTCCACATACGAGGTGTAGCATGTATAGGCGAGACCCTCCGCAGCCCATTGATGGCGCTCCCGTGTCTTCTTATCCAGGAGGGATGGCGGAATGGCATGCGCGCCGAGGGCGAGGACACCAGGGAGGAAGCAGGCGAGATGCTCGAGGTTGTGGGAGACGACCCCGCGGTTGGTGGAGGCGACGTAGAGCAGGTGGCGGTTCGGTGTCACGTGGAGGAGTTTGTTGATTATGCCGTCCATTGACTTGAGGTCTGTTTTCCATGGGTATGTTAGCGGGAACAGGAGGAGGAGGAATGGGAGGAGGAGTTTACGAACATTGAGTTAGGGCTTTGGTGTCGTTGCTGAGAAGGTATTGCTTGAGGAGGTACTCGTACCCGCTATCAGCAGAGGCGCCGACGGAAAAGTGTTCTGATCGGGCTGCGATGAGCGAAAGTTGGGCTAGATATAACTGAAATCGTGTACCATCGAGAGGTCGCCCATTCTGCGACCATGTAAGCGGGAACAGGCCATCCTCGACGTTCGCATCGTACATCCTGTTCATGATGTTGTCCACCTGTATGTATGTCAGAAACATAAAAGCATAGGCTACGAGGACCAGGCATACCGCGGCGTAGTAGTCCTTCCGCCCCGTCAGCTTCGCGAGGTACTTGAATTCAGGCTGACAGCTCGTGGCCTCCGAAAAAAGGACGATGTTGCCCATCCACCCACCCGCCGTGCTCCCTCTATGAATTATAAGCCGGTGCCATTCAGAGGGGGAGGATGCAGGCTCACGAGTCGGTGTTGACGGAATATGCAGGTAATCCAGAGGACGTCGCCGCGAACACGGGGAGCAGAAGTGTCCCAAGATCGTCTGCACGAGCGAGGAGGATCGGCTCCCCGGAAAGGGCGTATGCGGAGAGAAGACCCCCCAGATAGCGGATCACAGTCTCGAAAAACGGGGCATATCCCTTCGCGGCTCTGTCAGCTCATCTTCGAACACATGAGAAAACAACGTTACATACCTGCCCCGTTGTGAAATTCTGGCCTGCTACTACCTCAACCGCATCCGCAAACTCATCGTACAGCCCCATTATCCACATCGTATCCATCGAGTCCAGCAGCGTGACGCTCCAGCCGTTAAACCTGGTAGCTCAAGGTGAGAACGACGGCGCCCATGAATCGTGATCAGGAACATAGGGCTTACTTGTTCGATTTTCCGCCCGAAAGCGCGAGCAGCTCATCTGCCGGAAAGGCATGCTGTTTATACCCCACCAGTGCATGGAGGTACGCCCTCCGAACCTCGTCCTTCCGTTCATCCCAGATCGTCGCGTCCTGTCCCGTTCCCGGCCGCGAGGGCGGTTCTGGGTCCGTAGGCCCAGGTCCAAGTCCATGTGGTAGAGGGAGGTGGTAGGAAAGCGGGGCTGCGAGCCAGAAGAGTGTTACGGTGGCGAAAAGACATAGGAAGGCGATCCAGCGCCCTGAGATGCGTCGGAACGGGATCCGGCCGAGGTGGCGGGGCGTGCTGGGGGGGTCGGTGGTATGCATGGGGAGCATGGTGAAGAATTGGGCTGGGCCCAGCGAGGGGCAGCTCAGCGGTGGTCGGCGTTGACTCTGGAACAAGCGGTGAGAGGTAGAAGGGCCCGGGCAGGACAGGCCGGCAGAGGAGGATGCCAGCAGATCTTTGAAATGATGTGATGCCAAGCCATTCGCTGACGAGAGAGGTTCAGATATCTGGCCATGGTGACATCGTGGGCTGGTATGGATGGATGTCGGTATTGATTGAAGTTACAAGTACCGTCCGGAACGATGATAATAGATGAAGGAAGGAATCATGAGCGCGATCTACTGCCTAGGTACCACTTGTTCAGTGATCGACGCAAAAAACGGCTGAGATCAACTTACCTTTTGGGTCTATGTTTTGATTGAAACCCCGTGGAATCATGAAGTCACTATCTAACGTTTGACGCCGGCCGTCTCATCGCCGCTCTTCCGTTCAGTGAAGGATCTTGCTTTGAAGTGGCAAGAGGTGGATTCACCAGACAGGAGGCTCTGTCGTCGTGAAGCCAATATTGGATTTCCCGAGATGGAGCGCAAAGGCCTGCCAGAATATTGAACGATGCCAACTCCTGTCAGTTCAGAGGGAGTTTCGTACGATTGAGCCCACCACGATCGTGTGCTCGAAGGTGGCGAAGATGGTTGCTTCCCAAGAAAAGTGGACGATTCGTGCTCGTCATCGTTGAGAGCATTGCCGTGGGCTTGGGGAACAAGCAATCACAAACAACGTCTTTTGAACTTCAACGACGACAATCAATTTCCTGACCTCACTTTGACACGTTATATCGTATGAATCACTCCTTAGAATTCCCCTGGAAAGCCACAAAGATTTGTGGACTCGATGCATGACCAGGTCGCGAACTCCCTGGCAATTGAAGATCACTCACATCACCTGGAGCAGGAATGACGACACGTATAGTGCAGCCGAATTCTCGTCTCTTTCCGCGCACTGCTATTCCCTTTAAAATTCCGACACGCCTGGTCCTGTTACGCATGCCTTGCGACACCGAGAAACCCACTCCGTATCCACGATGTAGATGTGTAGAACGTGAAGGAGCGTAAAGCCTGGCTCCTATCGCACTGATCCCCGCTGCTGTCTATCCTTGATCCTGAACGAAGTATTATTTCCTCTTCCTTCCCCAATACAATACTTAACAGCAGCTTCCGGTCCAGACCGGCGTGTGTGCGCGGCGTCGGCCCCAGTGAGTCATGGAAGTCGTGCGTTTGTCAGCGGCCCTGGATGGAATTCTCGTGAAGGGTGAAGGGTGTAGGGCGGGCGAGGAGGAGGAATCGAAATGGAGGGGTCTGAAGAGAATGGCGGGCAGGAGACGATGGTATCTCTCTCCTTTGCTTCGGAGTACGTCGTAATCATGCACGGTTCTAGGATGCTCTGGCAAATGCAGATGGGATGAGGTGTGGCCTCGGCTTGGAACAAAGGTGTGATGGACAGTACGAAGAGAACCGTTGGGCGATATTCCCCGGTGGGTCGTTTGGTGCGCGGGGATAGGGCAGCATGACGGACGATAAACTTCACAAAATCACCCGTCTAACTGGCTCGACTATTTCTCCATCTATTTTCTGCCTGATCATCACCAGGAGTCGGGCTCTTCGATATCGATGACCCCTACCGCGACGAATACCTACTGTCCAGTCTGAGGTTCGTGGAGAAGTCAACATCGCTTCCCGTCGAGTCCTATCGCCCCTGTACCTTCCACTGGGGACGTGGTCGAACAGAATGCCGATTTTACTCTCGATGTCCGGGACTACATGGTGAGATGGCCGAGCGGTCCAAGGCGCCAGACTAAGGTAGCGCGAATGCAGAAACCTGTTATCTGGTCTCTCCGGAGGCGGGGGTTCGAATCCCCCTCTCATCATGAAAGCCACCTTGCTGAGTATTTTTGTTTGTACATTTTGACGCGCTATTCTGGCATATGGAAGGTCCAGCCTGTATCCCTCCGAGAGTTCGAGATGAAGTCCAAAGGACACAGCAACAGGGAACGCGGTCTATCACGCACGGAGCCCAGTGAAGAAGAATTTGGCACACACCGTAGTCCTGAAACAATCGAGCAGCCGGCGTAGGATAGCCAAGACATCGCGGTTGTTGCTGTTCGACAGGGTCAAGTCAGGTGGCAGTTACTGAGCGTAGCGAGCATCCAATTAACGTCGGTCGCGTCTAGTACGCCCAGGCCTGTATTTCGGCAGGTATCGTCGAAAATCCATGGCACTACAAACAAAATCGAGAAAGATCGCATATGTATCTAACCAAATTAATATCCTCGGCGTGCAGAACATGTCGAATCTCGAGCGGGCGGCAGCCGCACGAGTAGTCCGGAGTCGAAGGCCAACAAAGGTAGAGTTCGTCCTGAGAAGTCGGTCGGTGCGACAGCGACGGAAATGATGTATCCCGGCCAGGTGGAGCAACAAAAGTGCCGTCAAATTACAGAGGACAAGGAGGAGATATATTGAAGAAGATGCACATGGAGAAGTATTGGTTCACCCGGTGATACATCGAGGACAAGGAGCAGAAAAAAAGAAGCGGAGATGCCGAAGACAGGAATATTACGATAACTAAAGCAGCGTGAAGAAGCGCCATTGCAATCGTCAATACTTGCGAGCGACACCACTGCTATAGTTCGCGAAAGCTTGTGGAGATTCGAAGAAGATGAATGTCAGAGGCAGTGACAGATTTGCAACTTGAAATCACCCCATCACGCCCACGTGCTCCCATGGCTCACTAATCCAAAGCGTCAGCCCAACAACACATAAATAGTCTTCCCATCCTCCCAATCTCCGCCCACTTCCTGCCCCACCTCCCATCGCAATGGCACACACCCTCCCTGATCTCCCCTACGCCTACGATGGCCTCCAGCCGTACATCTCCCAGCAGATCATGGAGCTGCACCACAAGAAGCACCATCAGACCTACGTGAACGCGCTCAATGCCGCCGAGGCTGCATATGCAAAGGCCTCCACACCCAAGGAGCGTATCGCACTCCAGGCGGCACTCAAGTTCAACGGCGGTGGTACGTTCGAGTGTTCCTCTTGTCCGATCCTTATCTTATCGCGATCTTATCCCGCCAGGTCACATCAACCACTCGCTCTTCTGGAACAACCTCGCTCCCCCTTCCGACGAGGGCAAGGGCTCAGGCGGTCTGCTTAAGGATGGACCCCTCAAGAACGCGATCGTAGCGGCGTTTGGTGACCTTGAGAACCTAAAGAAGGAGTTCAACACCGCGACACTCGGTATCCAGGGATCTGGCTGGGGCTGGCTCGTGCGTGCTTTCTCTCCTGTCTGTTTGTCTAGGATGCTTAAGTATATGCGCAGGGATTCAACCCGAGCACGAAGCGCCTGGAGATCGCGACGACCCCGAACCAGGACCCGCTGCTCTCGCTTGTGCCCATCGTCGGCGTCGATATCTGGGAGCATGCGTTTTACCTGCAATATCTGAATGTCAAGGCCGACGTACGTATTTCCTCTCGGTTATCATGCTCGAATCTGACGATGCATGTCCTTGTGCAGTACCTCAAGGCCATCTGGTCCGTCATCAACTTTGAGGAGGCCGAAAAGCGTCTTCTCGAGGCATCCAAGTAGGAAGCATGTATCACTTCTACTGTCACGACTCGTAGTATGGAAACGGAATGAATTGATCGTGTAACAACATACTTGAAGTTCGCGAATTGTCATGATTGGCAAGATATGTACAGTTGCCGTGAGTACCCCGCTAGGAAATGATACTGAGATATACGCGCCTCAGCCGCCGTCTAGTCCAAGAGACTCGATTCACTCGACGGGGCGACGCAACTTGTACGAAGAGCGGGTAAGTGAGCGGAACGTCGATCGTGTCTTGCGACGGGCGGCGATCGAGGGTAGGGGTTGCGAGGATGAACATATGAGATGGTACAGAGCGGATCGCGATAAGCCGTCGGTCTCGCTGAGGGCGTGCACGATCAGCGGCGAAGAGAAGATATGAACGCCGTTCCTGAGACAAGGGTGTAGTACGTGAACGGGGTTGGGAAAAAGCGATACCCACATACGTTGCTGCTGACTCGGATGTTCAGCTTACTCAGGTGATGTTGCACTCACGCAAAACCGTTCCGCTGCTCTCATCACCAGCACCCATGGCTTCCCACGCGCTGATAATCGTCATCCCGCTTTTCTACATTCATCAACGTAGGAAACGTTGTTCACGAACCTTTCCTCCGGGACCCCCATAAGACTTTACTCTACCCGCCACTCGCCATGTTCTCCCGTCCCACGTTCGTCACGAGATTTATCCATCAGCGTTTCTCCAGAACCGTTCATAGCACGGGACCTCGATCTTCGACCTTGTTATGAAATCGCTGGATGCAGAGAAGTCCAAGCACGGACTGGGTCCAGGACAGACTCTAAGTGATTCTAGGACGGATTAAGAGTCCGAGGACGGCTTTGATCGACGGGGGGACTGAAGGGCTGAAGAACTTGCGAGGTGCAGAGGGAGAAAGACCGTAAGAGGGAGAGAGTATTGGATCGGTAGGTCCGCATAGAAGGACGGAAGCGTGCCAATGCTGATAGCGCGGAATGTCCTAGCCTCGGGATCGCAAATCGGACAAAGATCGGTCGTAATAGAACGGCGACTGGAACGCACGCGAACCCAGCGTTCGGCACCGTGATTTTGCCTGTAGTCTGCACTTTCTTGGGTATAGTCCGCAGCGGCACTCCGAAGACCCGCTATGTATGATATACAGCCATTGGGAATACGTCGACTGAGATCGTGTCCGATGCGTACGTCGATGACTGGTGAGGGAGACTGTGTAAGGGGATGCTACAGAGGTCAGAGCTTAGATTCTGAAAGCGAGGAGCATATCCTTCCGTACGCGAGGTACAGGCTCTGCAAGTCCTGATCCAGTAAAAGCGCGACGGCATGAGAAGGTGTCTCAGGACCCAGTCTGGCTGCCAGCTGGAAGCGCAGTCGGTCATCGAGGTAGTAGCATAGACTCAGCAGTATAAAGATTGGCAATCCGTTGCGCTCCTTAAGCTCGCAATATGCGGTTCCAGGCGAAGAAAGCCAGGGTGTGGTGGTGGTCAAAAACAATGAGACATGTGCCACGTGATGCCGCGGTAACAGCAGACTGAGAGAGTTGAAAGAATGAGGATCATCATTCCTTCCTCAACATTGACTTTAAGCTAGACCATGGAAGATATCGACTACAGCAAGTTCGTTTATCGCAGGTTGGTGGATTGTGTAATTTTCTGTTCGACAAAATCTCTGACGCCGAGGCAGACAACCTACTGTGTCCAGTTTTATCTGGGCCTTGTGGCTTCGCATGCCTCTGGCGCTTAGGACATCCGTCTATCGACTTATGATACGCGTCGGCGACGAGACCGGATCTCCTTGCGTTTCTCGCCTCCCTTTTCGCCTCTACGCCAAATTCGGCGACATTGGCGAAGCACTCGCCACCCAATACGTGTCCACGCATACCACTATCCCCGTCCCAACTATCCTCGACGTCGTCCCGGACCAGAGGCGAGGCGCCCTGTTTCTTATGACACGAGTACCAGGTCGGCCGCTCCCTGACATGCAAGGAAATCTCAACACCTTGCCTGCGCAACAGCTTTCCGTATTCACCGATACCATGCGTGACTGGCTCACCCAGCTCCGTAGCCTAACGCCGCCTGCCGACGACGGCTCAATTTGCGGATTTCTGGGAGGATCGTTAGACAGCTATCGAATCAGCTTCAACGGTAGCGCGGGCCCTTTCGAATCCCAGGAGGTATTTCACGCGCAGCCGTTCTGTACGCTCCCGCCCAGCAGCGACCCAGCGATCCGTGCTCTCGCGTCCTCCATCCGCCAAAAGAACTACCGCATATGCCTCACTCACGGGGATTTATCGCCGAACAATATTCTCGTGAACGAGCATTTCAAGCCGACAGGGCTGGTTGATTGGCAATGTGCGGCATGGATGCCCGAATACTGGGAGCTCACGACGGCGTTGTGGCGTCGCCAGCGCTATGGGGGGTGGGTCAATGCTTTTACGCGAGCGCTTCCACAGTATACAGAAGAGCTGGAGGTGGAAATGGAGCTGTGGAAGACCATCTGTCCTTTCTAGTCTCGTCAATAGTTACGCGGCTTTCGATAGCCACCGGGATACGAATGCGCGCGAAATCAGCGTTCGGCAGCATGATTTTGCATGGAATCTGCTCTTCCTTGGGTATAGTTCGTAGCAGCGCTCCGAAAGCCGCTGCGTGATTTAGAGCCATTGGAAATACACCAACTGAGAATGTGTCCGATGCGTCCGTTGATGCTTGGAAGATGGCTCGTGAAGAAGACTGCGTAAGAGGATGCTTCAAAGGTCAGAGCTTAGATTCCGGAAAGCGAGGAGCATATCCGTTTATGCGCAAGCACAGGTTGTCCAAGTCATGATCCATCATGAGAGCGACTGCGCGAGAAGGTGTGTCAGGACCCAGCGTGGCTGGCATCGCAGTCGGTCATCGAGGTAGAAGCGTACACTCAGCAGTTTAAAGACCGTGTAAATCCGTTGTGCTCCTTAGGCTCGCAACATTGCAGTTCCAGGCACAGAAAACCAGGGTGATGGTGGTCAAAAACAACGAGACATATGGCACGTGATGCGGCGAGACTTTCGCCAACTTCGAAGCCAAGAGCAAACCTGGAGAATTTTGGGAGAATTACTCGCCCAACTTGTTCAATGAATAGGTCAAGCGCAAGGGTTATGGTTTAGGGTTTAGTACCCAAGGTCACAGGGGACGCAAACGAGCCCTCTATGTACATGAACGACGCCTCCACTGCAAGTGGCTGTACGGGCGACCGTTCCCAATCACTGCACCAACTCAAGATCTCATACCACCCCATCCAACATGACTGAGTCCCGCAGCAGC